TTTTAAATTGTTCTGGTTGAATGACTCATTTCTGGTGGTTGCAGAATATATTTCTCATTTCAAGCTGGGACTTCTTCCTCTAGTTAGCTGGGGCTGGGACGCGTCAATAGTTAGCTTACTGGTCTTGGTCATCGAATCTCGTTCTCGTTCGCAATCTAAGTGAACTCGTTAGCTTCAAACCTAACAGTATTGTTTCCGGATTTCACAAAAACTGGTGTTTCTCACATACTTAGTAACAAATAAGGCAAAATCATATAATATAGTACCTAGCTGGGCAAATCTGGATGACAGTGTTCATTTTTACACCAAGAATCGTAGCCAGTATATTTCGCTTCAAATGCATAACATGTTGTCTTCATGGTGTGCAAATATTTCTAGAAAAAGATTGATTGGAATCCCATTAGGATTGTCAGCAAAGCGACAGCTGAAATCTTTTCTAATCATGATATAAATATCGTATCTCAGTGGCTTTCTAGATTCCGTAGCTGAGTGAATAACGTGTTGTGCGTTTGAAGCTAAGGGTGCTAGGTTCAGTTCATGATGCTAATATCTACATTGGATGAATGTGCACTTAATCCCAATTAGGTCGAAACGCGAGTCTTGGTTTTCCCTATCAGCCACAAATTTATCTATTCTACGAAAATTTATGAAAAATGGAAATATCAAGACAGTTTGCACAAGATTCGTACATGCTAATAGAGATTGATCGGAATTCCGTCAACTTCATACGAGCGATTCTAGAACCACATTTTAGTTTCCGTGATGTAATGTATACTATATTCATAGTTTCACTGAATAATTGTTAAAATACCAATTGTTAGAATTTCGTAAATATCTTTAAAGTATAGAGAATGTTGAAAATTCAAGAGTGAACTCTATGCATGATAGCTAGTCAGTCATCTGTAATTTTGAAGGTCAAGATGAAAAGTTAAGCATACTTCTGTGAATGGATTTTCAAAAGACAATGCAAATAACCAACATAGAAAAACTAATCAATGCTAACTTAATTTAAGTTGAAATTTATTTATGTTAAATAATTCTTATTTCAGCCAGCAAACTTCGCAAATTGATTTATCATAATTTCATTCATCAAAATTTTTTACAATTGTCCATGCAGAGGTATACATTAATTCATGGACGAACCAATCAGATGTAAGATAACAGGTCTTGGATTTCGGCGCGAACTTCATTTGGCTAAGTAGAGTTTTGGTATTATAGCTGATGATAGTTCGTGATGAAAACCCTAAATCTAATTCCTAACCCTAGTCACCAACTGTACATCTTAATTCTAGTTCCTCACACTGGTTTATAACCCTCATTTAATACTAGTTAGTAGGTGAACATGCTCAAGGTCACTTTAGTGTGTCTCAATGGTCATCCATAAACTATAGTCTCACATAACATTTTTGTTTTTTTAGTTCTGAGAAATTTCATTAACTTAACAAAAGACAGTTTAGCAATTTGTGATTATGCAATCACTTTTAATTAAGTGAATATTACATTTGTGAGTAGACATTCATGTAAAAGTCAAACTAATCTCATTGAATTCATGATTAAAATATATAAATGTAACGAATATTATTGAATCAAGGGACTTTTAATGTTAAATTAATCGATACTTGATTTATTGTATCATATTGTTATTTACTATCCATTGGTTAACTTTATTCATTGAACTCAATTTGCTACAAACTGGTAATGCTCTAATATCAGATTATCGTAATTATAGTGGGATGTTGTATATAGTTCTATTTTTTTTTATTTTTGTGTTATCGTTCTCCACAGTGTTTACAAATACTAACTAGATTATTTATTTCCTTTGTATATAACCGGTTGGCTTAATTTTCACCCTATAAATTTATTATCCAGTACTCGAATACTTGCAAACTTTCCTCGCTAGTATAATCAAATGAAATTCAATATTCAGTAAAGTGGAAACTAATTCAGTGAGAAAATACAAACAGCACTGGTTATTAGACATGACATTAACTACGACTTCATGGTTAATTAGTTGTAATCGTTGAGTGTTATCATTATTGACAATGATACTGAGGGAATTAATTTTCTATTAATACAGGAGCATCTTTTTTAAATTTCAGACAAAATCTACTGATTAGTACAAAACTAGCATGAAATCCGTGTTTAAGGGTTGTGGTGACTACTCTATCATCTCACATAAAGGAATACTACTTTAGAAATAATGTTTTCTTTAAAAACTCTCACACAGCATCTGTTACTGAAATATTTCATGAATATCTCAATATAATTAGATATCAAATTACAAATGGAAAAGGTTATTGTAAGTAACAAGTACGTTTAAAATTAAGGAACAATGTTTTTTCGATAGTTCACTGTTCATTTTTTTTTCGACTTAATAGCTCTATGTACGCAGATAATACAGAACGTTCCTGAGGCATTTTTTTTTTACTTCTGTAATTGCGATCTAATGAAACTCGTGTGTATTACATGGAAAATGTATATGCCATCCTACCGACGTTACTAGATTAACTCGAAAATATACAGAGTAAATTAAAATTATGTCTTCTGTAAATGACTTTGAATTTACTGGATGATTTGAATAATGACATAACAACAGGTTAACACGTACTTCAATAGCCATAAGCGACAAATCAATCATATGTCGAGTTTGATTCAATTGAAATCCCGAAGTAGTTAGGAATTAGAATCTCAGCCAACGTCTTTAAAATCGCGGATGAATACTACCATTAAGAAAACACATACTTAAATAAAATGGTAGGGTGTCTTTCAGTGGTTCTTATGCTTATCTCATAGTTTATGTGTTCACTGTCTGTCGCTTTGAAACGCTTATTGTTCCTTCTTGACTTTTATACGCTAATATAAAGGTTTTATATTTTACAAGCGGTTTAATAATATATTTAAAACCAATAAAAGTCTATAAGTATTCAATTTCTCTATTATTCTCTAGCTATGATACTTCAGATAAATCATAAGAACAGTAAACTTTAAGTGAAATACTTAAATGACGTAACACTGATTGCAAAATGAATGAATTTATAACTGTGAATTGACTGATTCCTATTAGGTGGTCTAACATTAGCATGATCAATCCCAGACTCACAGGTAAGACTTTGTGTTGGGTCGTTGATGCGTACTGGCTATAATTTCAGTTCGTGATGACACTTAAAGTTTTGGCTAAAATACCGAAAGAGCCATTGCTTGAAATAAAGTGCAACGAGAATCATATGCCCACTGAGCATAAAATAGGGTCATCGGTAAAACCTGAGGATATATATATATATATATAATAGATAATAACATTAGGTTTACTTCTATATAGTGAGCATGTTCGAAACCTTGTTCTCCGAAACACATTAAAACTTTTGCAAAGTGAGAGTTTTTGTACTTGAAGTCTACCGTCAGCAATGAAGTTGTTTATTGAGGTCGTCTACAACTGCACGTGTTTTTACAAATTCTCAACCTGTCGTAAATGACGGATTTGAAAAACAATGTGAGGTTGCATTTCTTAATTGTCTGAAATCTAATGAAAAACCATATGAAATCAAAGATAACTAGTTGTTCTTATCCTTCTAGTATGGCCTTCTTCTGTACAAATGAGCATCCATGATCCTAAATAAAATCAATCTAGGGTCCTTTAAGTGTCTTGGAGATCAAAATATCTTCAAATCACCAAGACGAAATTCAATGATCCACACTCACAATTTCATTCAGAAGTCTTGGATCTCCCATGGGGATGATCTTTCAAGGTAGTAAGTTATAACACTCAAATAGCAAATCACGTGAAATTTGACGAATTGGCATAGCAGTACCATTACTATCACTTAGTGTGAAGGTTCTTGAGTAAGTCCAATTCTAGGCCCTATGTGTACACTACCAGTAAGGAGACTAAAATTGTAACAGTACGGTTATTCAAAACTTCATTCGCCAATTCGTAAAACATATGATCTTCACTTAGAGAATTGTTACCTTATACGCTCTCAGTGAATTTGTTACATTTTATATCTTTAGTTGTATTGTAGTGAACGCTACTCACTAGATTGCCATCAAATAGTGTGTAGCGGAACATGACATCAAAGTTGATAGTACTTCTCAGATGGAGTGAAATGTTTCAGTGCATCGAAATCCTAGTATTGGCAGACAATTCGAGACCACTCGAGAAAACAGTTCAGATTACAGAATACAGCGAAAGTTGAAAATGGTCGATTGAAGGCTATATATGATTATTATGTAAATACTTTATAACTTCTCACAATAAATATACTTTCCTCTTACTTATTGTATTGGCTTACATTAGGCTTAGTAACCAAATTTCAGGTAAAAAATGGATAATTACAAAATCTCAACAGAATAAAGTTATTAGATGAAATGTCATTTTTTATTATTTACTGATAATTAACTACAATGAATGAATCATAAATACATAATATTTTTTCTTTTCTTCATCTTAAATCTTAAAGAGGGAAATAGTAACCAACTGATTAAGAGCTAGAAGTAGTAGACAGTAAGTAATGAGCTTATTGATCAAGGAACTCTTACATATATATGTATATTGCGTAATCATATTAATCTAATAAAATAAACATTATGACGTGAAATCAAAATATTTTGGAATATGACGAACTAAGTTATTTACAAAATATGAGAAATTAAAAGAAAAAAACAAAGAAGAAAAATAAACAAGAAAATTTACTCTATAAAGTAGTACGGGTAAGTATCTTCTTTTTGTTTTTAATTCAATGAATGAAAGAGCAATAATTTGGGTCTAGAAGAAGCTAAATATCTCAGGCATAAATAGTTTTGAATTAAATGAATTAAAAAAATATCACAGTAAGTTGACTGGTTAACATGATACATAATAAACCTGGTAAAGATAATAATGAAAGACTTGATGCTGTAGCTCGATATAGAGAACGTGGTGCAAGTGTATCTACTGGATTTAATGGTTGAATAGGACGAAAATTATCACCCATAGTAGTTTGTTGTTCATTTGGACCATAAGGTAAACTACGTAATAGATTAACCTGGAAAAAGTCATATTCAGTATAATACAAATATTATTCAACGACTAATAAATACTAATGTAATAAAACATGTTGAAAAGTTTATTTACGTGTTTAACCAGTGTGAAGGTGTAAATCCCTTTAATAATTAAATGATAATGATAAACAACACGTGTATAAGATGTGATTTAGTTAGAATTAATCTATGAGGCCAGTGACTAAGACAAGTTGGGAGCTGCAGATTTCCTAATTAGACTTTATACAATGGCAGATATTAGCGGATGAAAGCTTTAAATGATATGACTCAAGGATAAATAAAATGGCATGTATTTATTCATTTTTTATCCTTTTCACATGCTTTATAATCATATCATACTTTGGATTTTTCCATTTTATTTAGTTTCTCAACTGAATTCACTCTGCTTAATTTTGTAATATAATTAATAACACTGCTATGTTAAATTTATATTGTACTGTTTACTTGAATCTTCCATTGATGTTTAGGACTGTGATTGATCAGTCTTTTATTGGCGTATGTTTATCCTGTTCGGATTGCCTCCATATTGCCTTATTTCATAAGAATTATAAGCAAAGATGGATGGTGGCTGGCAGTGATATCTAGGACGCGTGTTTAATCTTTATCTGGGACTCATCAACTGGATGTATCTGCACCCCATAGTTGATGTTTACTCCGGGACTCAAACCCAGTACCTTTCGCTTCGAACGTCACCATGTTATTCACCTACATATTGAGTCTTAATACTGGGTTCGAGAGTCGGAGTGACCAATAACTCTGTGATCCAAGTACATCCAGTCGACGAGTCCCAAATAGGATGAAACACGCATCCTGGATTTCACTGCTCACCATTATCCATCTTTGCTCATACTGCTATATTAATTCTTTTAACTGTCATCATGTTTATACTCTCTTGATAACCGGACATCAAATGTGAACATGCGTACTGTTACACATTTATGTCAATGCTTAGATTATTTAAGATTTACTGATATATAAGCCAAACTTTATTCTACCGTTAGCTGTAAGAATTAGTCTATTCAAGAGAGTGTATTGTAAGTGACTTTAATAATGTCGGTAATGGCAGAACACAAACATGATTTGACGAATAAAATAAAAAAAATTTTCAAAAACAAACAGTATTAGGACAAATGATCGTTATCTTTCTATAATAAATTGACATTTCCAATTTATAATATAATAATTAATTAAACTTTAATATTTTGTATTTTATTTCATAATTTTGAATTATATTACTCGTGAATCTAAGAAAGAAGTCACCGAAAATTACCATTCACTTTAGTGCTTCGTGATCCTAAACATCCTTCGAGGATTTTTAAATTACAAAAATTTTGATGTTGTTTGCATGAAACGTCTTCACTGCATTCTTGGAATGAAGTGATTCATAGGGTGATTGCGATATAATGAATATCATAGATTCAATTATATTTATATCGTTGAAGCATTTATAAATCTAATTGTTTTTTGTTGCTAAGTACTAAAAATTAAAAATTAAGTTTCTAGAACAGTGGAAACAGGTCTTGTATTTTTATCAATCATAAAATATAGTTTATCTGATACCTTATAGAAATCCCCAATCTCGTAATGATTTCACCTTCTATTTAGGAACATTGTTATTCTTGCAAACTGAACAACAGAATATTTCAATAATTGAATTCGTGTGTTAATTGAAGCTAGACCACCATGGAAAACCAGGAAGCACTGGACGGCCGTTTCATTCTAGTATGGGACTTCCCAGCGATCAGAGACTCATAGGCCCTGGGTTCGAATCATGCGGGGCGGGATTGTGGATGCGCACTGCGGAGTTCTATACTAGAATAAAAAGTCCGTCCAGTGCTTCTAGGTTTTCCATGGTGGTCTGGCTTCAATTGATTAATGAATTCAATGGTTAAATTACTATAATCTCCACAAAACCTGATTATAACAGAGTTTGAATGCTTTCTATATTCTTTATATATGTTTGTTTATGAAGCGAAGTTCAATTTTTTGTACGTTTAATTAATCATCTAGATTAATTTGTTCGAATTTGGATGACATAAGTAAGTCACTGTACTAGGTGACGGTTGGTGGGATATTTCTGCTTCGTAGGCATTGTTTCAAAATAAGGCGAAAATATTCATGATTCAAACCGGAACGTACTAGTTTACTAAAATCCAAACACGTAATAAATACAGATCACTACATTGATTCCCTGATGATTTGGAATAAAAATAGGTAATCAGCATCAACTATCACAAAATGAGTATTTCTCCACCTCCATCGGTTACTCTCAACCTTGAATAGCATAGAAACAACATACTAATGTTGAGTGACTCGAATCAGTGAGTACATTGAAACTTGTTTGAAAGAGCTGAGATTAACAGAATGACGTTAATAATTAGTTAGTGATTAATTTATGTCTAGAAATTTATGTCTAGAAATTTATGGCAAAAAAACACAATATTACATTTACTTCAATGTAATTAATTTTAATTAAGTATTGTCTGGTTCACTTAAAAACAGAGAAACTCGAATTTACTTGGGCAACGTAGAATTATGATTACCTGTTCACGTGTAACTGGCACTGGATCCGTAAAAACAGTCCAAAGAACATTTTCTGTGCATGGTGGAGTTGTTAATGAACCAAAATAGCGAAAATAACGACTAGGATTCAACAAACTTAGAATTAGCGCTAAATTCATATTATCAACTGACAAAGTATTCGGAGGAGCGAATTGTGAATTCAGTACACCAGAAAAATTGTTATATGCCTTGAACACTGTTTGCTCATATTTTATTGATTCAACAATATTATGCATGATACCAAGAACAGCAAGTCCACCTGGTCGACCGATAGCTTCCCTGGGTGACGAATACATCTGTCTTCGAAACGATACAATATGTCCCTACAATTAATGTTAAGAATAAAAACAATATTTAAACGTAACTGATAAGAATTAAGGCTAGTTGCCATATTTCACGTTTATTCGCTGGTGAACAAACTTAATTACTCATAACCTTTATTTGTTTATATTGTCAATAGACTTTGATCGGATTTGTTTTGTGATTAAGCTGTTGTACATAATTGAGTCATTTTACACAAAGGAATATTCTTTTTTATTCATTTGGCTCATTAGATCTTCATGAACAATTATCAATCTGGTTCTTAGAGATATATGATCACATCTAAAATCATTCATAAGAGAAAGGTTTTACTTTAAAACTTAGCAATTTCAAAGCATCCATAATTTGCTGTCTTCACTCTTGCTGTTTGTGAAACAGAAAGTTAAGATCAAATGACAATAATTTACATACAGACTTACTTCTAAAGGGAATCTACGTCCATCAATAGTATGCTCAGATCCACGATCATCAGTATTACCCCAGTGAAAATGCATTTTCACGATTTCATATTTATAGTCACGTAAGCCATCAAATGATATAAACCAAGTGTTTGGTGAAAATGTAACATCAGCTAAATTATTAGGAAAAATTATATGATACATAACAAATTGTGTAAGTCACAAAATAAAGTCAATAAATTTTATGTTTTCTAGCATTACATGTATTAATAAATACTACTTAATTGATTTAATACAACCAAACAACCCATTTGGTGTTGATTCTATTTCTTTTAAATTACCAGACAAATATGTTTATTGGTTCTAAGTGTACAGATTCAATATCATTTTACTAAATGACCGAATATATCTGTTTTTTTTTATCATTATATAAAAAGAGTAAATCATTAACTTATTATCACTATAATTGGATTTACTTATAGACTAATTAAAAACACTAAAAAGATATCTCCACTTATGAAATGAGTTGTGCAAGCTTCAGAACTAGGGTAGATATAACTTGGCATATCTGTAGTTTTATCCTCTGGGGAAACTTGTTTAGCTACACTATTAGCTGAATTTAAAACAATTATCTGTCAGTCAATGCATATTATTTATCAGGAACAAAGCATTGGGTTTCATTATACATGTATTGTATTCTAGAACGCATAGTACTTTTAGTTCATTTTAGAAGAATGAAAATCTTTTTCAAACATAACATTTAATGCTAGTGTCGGTCACTAGAGTTTGTGTTTATTTAAACATTTAATAAATGGATTGTTATATTTAAATAAATGATAATTTCACTTCATTGTATGATAGTTGCATATATTTGGCTGTTAAAAACAATGACATTTATAGGCCACGTTACTTAAATGATTTTCTTGAAAACCATGTCATGTCCATAATATGCTCCAATATGTTAATGAATTTGAATCAGGGATGTACAATTAGTCGGCTATCTGTAAATGAAATATAAGACTGATTGAGATATCATATTTCGGATTTGCATTTTAAGCAAATCTTGTAGATATGTTAATCAAGCGGAAAATATTGACCAGTTTATTTTCGTGTCAGATCACTTTTACTATTCAGGGAATCTATTTCCATGTTTCTGAATATTAGACAAACTCGCGTATAAAGGTTTTGTCATCCGATGGATAGATTCTTCATTTTCCAAATGGAAAAAGACACAATATACTTGTAAACTAATGAGGGAATAAAACAAATATATTTTGTTTTTCTTAATAAAGTATTCTTGTCTGAAGAACAGTTTATTCTTTAATTTACAAGTAGTTTAATCGATTTCTAAACATAATTCAAAGTATAACTAATACATTTTCCCATCAAAGTATGAAATATTGTATAGTGTCGGTTACCATGTTAAGCCCATATATATTATTCTAGCTTCTGGACAGGTCAATTTATCCATTCTTCTTGAGCCACATTTCAACCATCTTACTTATTCACTTATTAACCCTGTTTTTATATGAGCGTATTTGCGTACATCTTATCCTACTTATCACATGTCTGTAAATTATTTTTATCTGACTATAAATATTGATTAACACTTGATTAAATCGAGTTGGCTTGCACACTTTCTTCACTGTGCTTCATTTCGATTCGCTCTCTTCTCTTTGCTTCCTTTGCTTCATTCCTTTGATTGCCTGCCCAGATCAATGAGCGTACAAAATATATGTAACCGAAAATCCATTCTCGTATTCGGCTTATTAAATTCCGTTATACACTAACGTGGATTAAGTCGATAATTCTATACGAGGATTGACATGTATATCTTAATAACAACAGCGATTATACGATATAACTGGAGGCGATTCCCAGGTCACTAAAATTGAATTATTGTTATCTTCAGCAATAATCAATCCAAAAACCATGTATCCTTCAAATGATGATACAATATAAAAGATGTGCAAGCTTAGAAATAGAAAAGAAAAATGTGTATATATAGACAAGAAGTTTATTTTATTCTGTTAATATGTCGGAAATGATAAAACAAAAATGTAATTTAATCGAAAAATGGAAAAAAGCATGAACTCACCTGAGTGACCATTATTTTGAATTGTAGTGGTCTCAATAGTTGATGTGTTTCGATAAATTACCACAGTTTTTAATTTTAAATCAAGTATAGATATATCTGATCTCAAATCAATCGGTGATTGATAATAACCTGAACACATATTTTTATAGTGGTGATTCCATGTTTCCGGTCCAGTTAATACATTTGAATAAGACCATTCTGTTAGAAAATTCCCCCCCCCCCAAAGATTTACAATAAGTAAAAAATTTATATTTTTATGATTACGTAGATAGTTAATAAATAAAAAATTATATGAACTTCATATGCCAGATGATCAAACGAAGTAGTGAAGAAACATGAATATTAGAGAATGTTTTCCTACAGAGTACTTTTTCCCCTCGAATTTACTTTATTTCGCTGACCCTATTACTTTATTTTCTTGGTAGCCATTTTGATTCGTTAAACCGGTACAAAAGTAACCTCTCACTATTAAATAAGTGTTATCTAGACGTAACATTTTTTCATCTAATGCAATTCATGTTTTTTTTCCTTATTTTCGTTATTACCATCACTAAATCACGATTTATAACGAACCTTACTTTAGGTCATTTCAATCACCCCACACACATTCAAAAGGCATGTAGGTGATATTACTGTTAATTGTTTACCACTAAATTGATTCAACTTTGATCAATAAGCATCATGATTATATTGAAATTCGTCATGATTTCTTTTAGCAATGTCAATAAATAACCAGAAATTAACTGGACATTAGTAACTAACACAAACATTAATTTATTTAGGTGGCATGAAATAAAGAGGATAAGTGAAGAATGAGGAGGCCTCTTCAAGTTTTTACTCACTGTTTACAGAAATCTACAATTGACATGTATGATAATCGTATTTATAGATTATTCATTTAAACTGATTAGAACTTTAATTAATGTGGAAATGATGTTCAGAATATATTTACATAATAAAACTAGGCGGTAAGTGAAAACATATTTTTTTAGAAACTGAAACATTAATCCTACAATTTGATGTTTGGTGATTAGCAAACTGTCATGATTAATCTCTTCCATTAAATGTAAATAATAAGGAAACAATTTTATTAGTTTTCATTTTCATATCATAAAATTACTTGTGTCATACAAAAGTCTCTTAGGAAAAGTGAAAATTTGAATACTTAGCTAAATTTTTCTAATAACCTTTATTTATTTGAACACATAAATATTGGTACAAAGGGGCACCAAATAAATATGCACCACACAAGTTACTTGCTTTGTGTGTGAGTTATGATACTGCCCGGGTGCTCAGGCCGAAGCAAGTGGTTTCCTTAGAGGGTCACACCCTGAGCCTTCGACCTGAATGTCTGATCCACAAAGTAGTGGAGCAACGTAAGAAGATGTAGTCCCATGGTAGCCGGTGACCAACGATTGGTTCATACTCCATTGGTTGCCTCAGGATACTGGAGCCCATGTGCACCATTGGTTTGTAATTAGGGTTTTCCGAATCCCCTAGGTGGATCCTCCGTATCCATCAACCCGGTTAAAGCGCCGGACATTCAATTTTCGCCCTCTCAATTTCGTAAACAACACAACCGTTACGAGAAGGCAGTGAGTAGAACTTTCCTGACAGTGGCTGTATAGGCGTGACCATGTGAAAGCATTTCGAGAGGAAGAGCTAGCCTTTCCAACCCTTGGCCATACTAAGGCAGTTGGGGGCATTCCAATAACAATCTCAGTAAATTTCTTCTCATAACTAAATTGTTAATTTATTTATATTTAAGTTAACATGTTTCACTAACACTTTTTATGATTAGTATGTGTACTTTTTTCAAAATATTTTTACAACAGTAATATTTCAACTGGGTTTTCACTACAGATTAGTATAAGCTTAAGAACCCATTTCAAACAGGCAAGTTATGCATAGATTATTTTAGCCAGTTTTGAATTCACGAATCGTGCTAAAAAAGTGAACAAGTCAAATGACTGTTGATGGTTCATATTTCAGAATTCATTCAGCCGAAAATGCTCAATGATTATTGTCTATAATTTTTTCTAAATAACGAAAGCTGTTAGTCCGTTAAATAAAACGATAATTGATGTACGGTTAATCATGTGATGGGATTTTAAATTATCTGGAAATAATATATTTGATTGAAAACAGTAGAATTCATTTTTGATTGAGTTTTGTTCTCTGAGTTAGATAGTTTTGTCGTGGAGCTTTCATCATTATTCTGAATGACATCATCAACTTCTACCTGAAGTTTGTACTGATGATGTCGTTCAGAATAACGATAAAAGCTATACGACCAAACCAATCAGCTCAGAGAACAAAACTCCATTAAAATCATCCATATGAACTACAAATCTCACTATCTTAGTACGATTTATTACAAAAATAGCCTACGGGTTGTAATTCGGATATGCAATTTGTGTAAGAGAATAGTTTCAGCGCGTGTACCGAATTATAATTAATCTTTTAATTCTGTTATCTCAATAACGATTAGATATGGACGTATAAAAAATATTACCCGATTTGTATAAAAAACTACTATTAATTCATTATAAAACTAATTTGAAATATAACAAGTATTCACTAACCTGATCCATTACATAAGCAGTTAACAAATAACAATGAGATTTGTATAATAATCAACCCGTGATAAGTCATCATCTATGGGGATATTACAGAAACAATTAATTTATTAAACATTTCATAAAATTAATTACATATATATTGACTTCATTACATTGAAACATAACGGTAAAACTTTTATTTTATTCTTTTATCCAAACAAGTCCCTCTGACAGTTAACTAAAATGAGTACATAAGTAGTAATCTATTTATTGAAAGTGACTTTCGAAACCAGAATTGATCCATCCTCCCAGAATGTTTGTTTAAAGTCTTTAGATCAGTTCTTACCTATGACTTTAGACAACATAGTGATATAGAATCATCAGATCAGTTGACTGAAATTCTAGAAACATATTGATATGAGAAGAATTCTTTCCAAATGTGAACATATCGTAGTACTTTCTTATTTTTGTTTTTCTACCATAGAATGTGAGACAGGAATCCAAGAAGAAAGTATGTGAAGAAAGTATTTATGCTCCAAGTTGGCAATAATCAAAGGAATCATCTATTTCTTTATATAAAAATTGTCTGACAAAAATCTATGGGGTCTTATTCCTTATATTTCTCGTTTAAACTTCGATGTCAGTGTTAATGAAAATCATCAACTTGGGCATTTCTAAAATGGCCATCCTTCTTGAATTTTATCAACGACAATCTTTATCTTCATAAAATGTCATATTAATTTAGATACATAGATAGATAGATATTTCATTGAATTTAGTTAATGTCAGTTGATATCTACTGACATACTCTGTTCATAAAGATCATATAATTAATTACAGTTCATCAACACTTGTACATCTTTATTCTACGTCGATGTATTGGAAAACCACTCAATAATTCCAAATACTTATTTCCTAAAATGTTCAGTAAATATAAAGAAAAATTCCAACATTTTTGTAACTATCAGTATAATGTTGTGGAAATTATTAAGTTTTGATTGTGATCATGAATCGACTGATGTTAGACCACCATTGAAAACCTGAAAGCACTGCACAGCCGTTTAATCTTATTATGGGACTCTTCAGCAGTGCGCATTCACGATCCCGCCTCGCGAAATTCGAACCCAGGATCTATCGGTCTCGTGCGCTAACGCCTAACATCTAGACCACTGAGTGGTCTAAAGGTCAAGTATTCGCACGTGAGACTCAAGGCCCTGGGTTTGAATACCACAAGCCAGATCGTGGATGCGTACTACCGAGGAGTCCCATACTGAGACGAAACGGCCGTTCAGTGCTTCCAAATTTTCAATGCTGGCATAACATCAATCAGTTTTTGTAATTATTTTTCAAGTCATATCATTCCATCATTTTCATATAAATTATCAGATATTCTACAAATGACTTTATAAATTCTATTTCCTTCTGTTGTGTTTTTATTTCAAGTTAATTCGATCTAATATTAGTCAACCGTGAAACTATTTCAACCTTATCTCTATTCGTGACACTATTTTGATGATGATGATGATAATGAAGAAGAAGAAGAATCTCACTCTATTTCATAGATGAGTTAAAGCCACCTCATTACTAAGCACTTTAGACTGCATACATTACTAATATCATGTGTTGTTTCTTTTTCTTTTAATTAAAGAAACAATTGGCATATGGTGTAGACTAATTATTTCCAGACACAAAAAGCACAATTTGAATAAAGATAATTCTCTGATTTTTTTATTTTTGAGAATTAAGACTTGTGTCATTTGTTTATTTAGTTTACTCAGTATATAAATGATTATTTAATAGAAAAAAAAAATAATTTTAATGTTTCAATCATAATATGTATCTTATATTAAAAAACAGTTGCCGGGTGTTGTTTCTTTTCATTTTTTATTGATTTTCTATCAAAATAATTAGTAAAAATATGAGATTGAATTTTGCAGCTTCACTGATTTACATTATAATATGACACATTGAAATTGATTGTGGAATTTTTGTTATTAATTTGCTTAATATTGAATAATAGGATTCAATATAGTATGACGTAATATGTGTTTTCGTAAGAACAAATAAGTAATATACATTCCATAATTCTTTATGCATTTCAGTGTTTCATACTGAAATAAAACTAGTGAAATTCCAAAATCCCATCTCATATTTTGATTATTTAGTTAGTATCGACTAACAAGAGCTGTTGATCTGTTTTAATAATGTCCACTCAGTTATTAAATTCACCAGTGAAGAGGGAAACGATGTCGTACTTTCTAGAAGAATAGGCAGTTCAAAAAATGTATTTAAGAAGAATTTATGGACATGTCAATATACCGATTTCCATAGTGTTACACATTTTTAATACAAAAGAAAATGGACAAAATTTATCAGCCGCAAAACCTAACTATTATGTTCTGAAGATAGTGTAGATAGGAAAATGGATATACTAAAGAAATCTTCACAAAATAACAGCTATCTAGATAACTTCGTCAGAAAAGTTCTATTAGAAGGTAATAAATAGGAAGAAACTGTAGTATGAGTAATAAAATAACCCATTATCTGAAACTTGATTTTAAAGGGGACATAGCGAATGACATTTTAACGCGTCGACTCAAAAGATCTGTTTAAAGGACATTTCGCATTACCGATTTGTATATCACTTTCTTAACCAAACCAGTACTTATACAACAAATCAAGGATAGGTTACTGATGATGAGCTCCTCCATGTGTGTATACCAATTTAATTGCTCCTGCGGAGCTAATTACATGGGCCGTACTCATAAGACTTTATCCTTGCGTGTTCATACACATGTACCAGCATTGTTAGGAAAAGAAATCACTAAATCGATTAATAGCCCCATTCTTTCTAATTTGGGAGATAGTGAAAACCATATTAAGAAGCTTTCTCTGTTTTATATCAATTTTTAGTGAATCTACCTATAGATTACGGCAACTCTATGTAGCTGAAGTCAACTGGATCAACTCCAGATAACCGAACTTAAGTATTCGGAAGAGGTATATCTTCTGTTTACTTTGGCGCTCAACTAAATCACCCGGTACCTAAACTTGATACTATAAACCTCTTTCCCTCCTTCCCAATTCCTTTTGTGTTTAAATTTTTCTTAATCTTCACATTCATCTCCCCCGATTTATATGAATTCTTTTCGTTCATAATTACCTTGATGAAAACTCTCTTATTACATATTATATTCTCATAACAATATTGTTAATATTATTGTCATTACTATTACTAATATTACTTCGATCGCAAAGATGGAATTATTCCGCTATGGATTTTATTCACATGACTGAGTGATTGCCAGTTAGATTTTAACAGTTTAGAAATCAACATCTGAATAAAATATTCATTCTTTTTAATGTATATTACCTGCCTGCCACCACGAGGTGACTAATAGACAAAATGATGTCTCAAAACAAATAAACAAACCCCCAGATAACTTATTAAAATATCTAAAGGACAGGAACAGGTAGCGCAAATATTCAACTAGGCCACCTTACAAAATGAATAATTCTAGTCACGTTTTAAATCAATTCATATTTGCTTTCATTTAATCACGTATTATTTGAAATTATCAAAGTACACCAGTTAATAATTTAAAGGGAATAACAATAACAAAGATTTTAATCAAAATTCTATTTGAAAAATTATTCATTTACTCTATTTAATGCATAAAGGACAAATTGGAAGTAAATAAACAACTATGAAAGAAAATAAATAATTTTTTTTATTTTTTTCTTTAAATTTGTTTATTGTATAATAATTTTCAAGTTTTAGTAACAGTATAGATTAAAATTGATTTAAATATCTATTTAAGTTAGATACAAACTTCAATAATACTTGACCAGTATTTTATTCACTAATTATATTTCTCAGTATAGGATTGCGAAGATTATTAAGATTTTGATCGAGATCATGAATCGAATGATGTTAAACCATTATTGAAAACCTGGAAGCAACGAATAGCCGTTTTGTCCAATTGAAGGACCCTTCAGAAGTGCGCATCGACAATCCCTCTTGTGCGATTCAAATTTAGGATCTTCAGTCTCGCACACGAACGCTTAACATTTAGACCACTGAGCTGGCATCCAATGGTGTTATATTTCTAACTTCTCTAATTAATATAATGTAATAAAAATTGATGTTTATCGGCATAATTTGATCTCGAACATACTTAATCGCCTATCAAGTATATTCAGTTGACCATCATCTATCATATAATGTTATTTTAATCAAATCCATAAAGTTTTTTAATTAACAGTTTCACAGAAAGATGAAAACAGGTATCCTTAGTGATATTGAGCGCTGGTGATTGGAACAAAGCTAAAAGTATGAATCACTATATTACAATGAAGCAGAAACACACTAGCCGTGAGACTACAAGGTCATGAGGTTGTAAGTTCAAGCGGTTGAAGATTCACAAGTTGAAAAGAAACGTTCATTTAATAATCATTGGTTTTTTATGATTATCTTGATGAAAACCAACGTCAAACTATACAATGTTTAAATACACTCAGCCATACGTATTTTGTACTGAGCATTTTAGAACCTTCCAAAAACACTAATAAATCATCAAATCAATTTTACTGAAGGTATTTTAAATCTCAGAAATACCACTGCTTTTTCTAGTCATGCTCGACTTTTGTCAGTTGATGGCTAAAATTTCTTTTACCTTACTTGTTGGACTTTATTGTTTGACAAGTGATAGAAATGAAATAACCTATTTATATCCACCAGAAAGTTCACACGGTTATAATTGATGTAACATAACTTGCACAATAGTCTTAAAGCTTAGATGGCAATCTTCAGCCAGATTTATTCTGTCCTCTACTAAGATTATAACGATAGAAACGCTCCGATGAATCTAGCCATTTTGAATAGCAACAACTAATTCATACATTAAATATTCCCAAAGGGTTGGGTGGTTAATTTTTCTTTGGATGAGACTTTCCTGTCTGATGATTAGGATGGTTACCAGATTCATAGCCATAATGAACAGAAGTTTCAAAGTTAGAGTAGGTTTACTAAGTTTTACACAGTTAACATCTATGCACATCGATGACCTTAGAGATAAGCAGAACACAGATCTTCAATTCCTGCAGCTAGTACAATAATTTTAAACAACTCAATTGGAGTCTTACGGCTTATATTATCTTCTCCCAGTACATAAAATATTTCAGGCAGTATAGCAAAAAGCACCATTTCAAGTGGCTAATATTTTTACTCATGTATCTAACTGAATTAAAACAAAAGAGGCAAAGAAGACCGTCACATAGGTACTTGAATCATATTACACAACAGTGTAACAGAATTTAATTAATAAAGTATGAACTCTACTAGAAAATCAGTCAAAATATAAGTAAGAATAAAATTTGAAGATGGAATTTTATTCATTACCAGTTAGATTAATTGTTATACTTTGAACAAAACTTAATTTTACAGATGAATACTTCCATTCATTCATGTTATTTAAGTAACTATTCATAGTATAATATATAGAAGTTAATGACTTTTAACAAACAACTCTGAATTATTGACTATTTTATATGAAGTGAGTATTCAATTAACTTTTCAACATCACTTATCATTCATAAAGTTAAATAAAGATCTTAAGAAATTGATTTATCAATTGCATTTAGAAAACTAAACACTAAACACTTTAGTTATAACCCATTATTATCATTAATTTAATAGTCTATGCAAAATATTAACATTTTTATTTGATAGAACTTACATAAATTGGATTATTTAAGATTCTTGCAATGCACAATATTTTTTAAGTAACATTAAATCAAGTGATTTAATATTAAATATTTAATCATAAAAAGTAAATGAACCAATCATTTTTAAGAGTGAACTAAAATAAATATCTGATTGGTTAAATAATAAGTAAATAAATGAATTCATTTTATAAAAACAATTCATGTTAATTTGAAGTGATAAAATAATGAAGAGCTCTAATAGTGTTCGGTGTCTACCTGATAGTTTCATTTGGGCTAAAATAAAAGTTCATTAAAACATTTTCTATTTGTTTATTGGGTATTTTTGGAAAAACCATTTCACCAGATATAGTTGAAATCCTCGATTCAACTGAGAATAAATAATATAAACTGAAAAATTGTTAAAAATTTAGAAATAATGAACCACTGTGCATCTTAATTTTAAACTTTTACATCACATCACATGAAATTGAAAATATAACCTTTAGGTCTTCTGGTTAGTACGATCCATTTGAGCCATTAAATATGAACCGAGTACGCTTATTCTGATCTAATTGTTATACAACGTTACAAATATTCAATGGGATTATACATCACACACTTAATCTTAATACAGTTAGCTTGATGATATATCTTCTAATTGAACATTTCTTGTTATATCTGGTCGTCGCTGATTGTTATGTCGGAATCGTTTATTACTTATACTTGTAATACAAGGAGCCACTACAAGTCCCACGATGCGAAAGTAAGAATACAAAAAAATGATACAAGTGAAGATTTATTAACTCCAAAACACGATGACAACGATGACCCTAGTCGAAAATACACTCATTAACATAATGATTTTGCACCCATTTTGATTAATAATTAGCATGAAATCACTTAGGGTTATAACAAATCACATGCTACATGTCATACTGAACGTAGTTCATGTCAACTGAATACAAGAATATCTTGTTATATAAAATAAAATATCACACTGGAAAACGGAAACAAAGAATGTAATTTGGATTTTCATCCCGTCATATCACTTAATCAAGGGTGATTTTTAACTGGAACTTTCAAAACGTTCACTTATTTACAAGTTATCTGCTGGCTTTTAATGTAACAACAGATCTTACTAAACACGTGTTAAATACTTTATTTTAACAAATACAAATGACTTTGGGAAACCAAAAATTTACTTTACTTATCGAATATCGTAATTAAGATCAAGATGTTTCTATATATATTTTAACTGAGGAATATGTAGTGTTGGCTGCTATGTTAAGCCCATATACCTTATTCTAGCTTCTGGACAGGTCAATTTATCCATTTTTTTAGTCACACTTTGACCTTGTTAATTATTCTATTATTAACTCTTATATATGAGCGTGTGTACACCTCTTATCCTATTCATCACATGTCTGTAAATTATTTTTATCTGACTATAAATATTGATTAACACTTGATTGAATCGAGTTGGCTTGCACACTTTCTTCACTGTGCGTCATTTCGCTTTGCTCTCTTCTCTTTGCTTCCTTTGCTTCATTCCTTTGATTGCCTGTCCAGATCAATGAGTGTACAAAATATTTGTATCCGAAAATCCATTCTCGTATTCGGCTTATTAAATTCCGTTATACATTAACGTGGATTAAGTCGATAATTCTATACGAGGATTGACGATTTGTATATTTCAATAGAAATCAGAAACGATCGAACTGAAGTCAGATATAAGGCCACAAAAGTGTGAGCCTATCGACAATGTCGTCCAATCTAATTGACGTCTAAATGTATGGCCACACTAAAAAAACATAAAATATTTAATAGTTTTAGTGATATCGTTTTGCAATCTCTTTCCAAAGTAATTATATTTGCACGCTACTATTCATTGTAGTCTAGATGGAATCAAACGAAATATTTTCTGTAAGAAGTGATTAATTACTAGATGTTTTGAGAACTTAGCTTCAATCTAGATAATGCAATACGAACACGAAGTATTTCAGAACTGTGTGACTTGTAAGGAAATACGTTTTAAACAATCTGTTCTCAAATTCACTTGTCAAGTGATTAATTTATGGAAAATGAAGTCCAGAATAGGCAGATCGGATGACTACAGAATATAGATTTTAGAAAAACTAAACTACGCAAATTATTTACTTACGCCTGTTACCCTCAGCGGAGCATATGTCAACGACAAACATTCTACAACCCACTCTGTCCTAGCCCTTCCTTTCCAGTTCCATACAATTCTTGTTCATTTTTTTCATATCTGTCTCCATTTCTCAACGTAATGTGTTGTTTGGTCTTTCTGCCCTCCTTCGGCCTTCCGGATTCCGTGTGAGGGCTAGGCTTGTGATGCAGTTCGGTGCTTTCCTCAATGTGTGATCTATCCACTTTCAGCGCTTCTTCCTGATTTCTTCCTCCACTGGGATCTGGTTCGTTCTCTCCTAAAGTAGGCTGTTGCTGATATTATCTGGCCAACGGATCTGAAGTATTTTGCATAGACAACTGTTAATAAACACCTGTATCTTCTGGATGATGGCTTTCGCAGTTGTGCAAGTTTTCGCCGCATACAGTAGAACTGTTTTGACACTTGTATTGAAAATTCTGACTTTGGTATAGGTTGACAATTGTTTTGAGTTCTAGATGTTCTTCGGTTGTAAATATGCTGCTCTTGTTTTGCCGATTCGAGTTTTCACGTCTGCATATCACATAACAGTAATATTGGCTTGTTATAGATTGCGGTGTGATCCACATTGCACTTCCCGAGTATCTTTTATTTATATATCTTCCGATTGATCTATGACAACTTTTCATTTCTCAAACATAGTAGGTTTAAACGAATAAATGAGTGACAAAACAGTTTAAAAAGGTACTGCTATGATATGACTTATCTTCTCATAGTGTAGTCTCTAGGTTATATCTCTCCCTTTCTGCAGCAATTCGAATGACTCTCGTGGTCTCTCACATTATACGAGCATTCCATGTACCTAAATAAATGGTTTCTCTGGTTGTCAGGAACGGCATAAGCCTTGTGAATTCCGAGAGAGCTCGCCTTTCATTATGAGGCGTCACGACTCTTCTAAATGAAGACGTTCTAACTCCCAAGGCAGAGTTTAAATGGTTTGAATTATTTTTTCCGGTAAACGTTTGTTTAGCGAGTTAGTTTTCTATGGGATGAGGTCGCTAACCCCATGCCCAAACCTTCTTTATCCGGGCTTGCGACCGGCAGTAGCTGCAGGCGGAGTTTATTCCAAATATAGTATAAATAAAATTATAAAACACTATTCATTTCAATGATCACATATACATTTTAGTGATATTTAATGACGGCGAAATAAACTACTGTTTCACACAAATAGTGGTATCACGTTCACTACTAAGTTTTGTTTACATGAATAACAGAAAAAATCCTATTTTCACTTGTTGATTCTAAAATAGTTAAATGTCTGGAAGTATGATCCTGAGTAAATGTTTATTATACTTTGTATCAATCAAATTTTTTGAATCTTTATCATGGATTAAAATAAAGATGAACTCCGTTTCTAAATTTGCTTCACAATAGACAAATTCATTCTGGTAAAAAAGGTGGGAGAAACATTTTACACAGCATACAAACAATAAGAATTTGTCGCATCATCCTAGGCCATAAAATGACTTAAGCATTATCAGGGTAAATTCAAGGTTACGACAAATTTTCCTTGTATATATAACAGAGCTGTAAATTTACGAATAGTCAAGGCTTCAATAAACTCGAGAATTCATCCTTGACAATTTCTATACAACGTTCTAGAAGCTGTATTAATGTCAATTTCGTGTCCCGTTTGAATTATATGTTTCACTATCGATGACACATGGTTTTCTACCTCACACGTCGATCCGACAATTTGACATTAATTGGTTTTGAAGTCATCTAAGCACATGTTCAATGACACTTGATTGCATTGTTCCATTGCTCATTCCTATGTATATGTGTCCACACAAACATGTAAATTGCTAAATATTTGAGAAAGAAGACCTATCTCTCGGATTTCATTTCTCCGTTGCACATGTCAAGATTTCTGATCTATTGATAGATGCTCAATTGGAAAATCTGTATGATTAGTTGAACCCTGTTGTCGCAACCAGCCTAGATAAGCGAAATTGGTTAAAGATGAAATCGGTTGATATTTCCCACCACTTTCATGGTTCTCAAATCAGATGCAGGAATAATTTAACTTCTAAACATATCAGTTTCTAAATTCATTTCATGATCTGTAGTTCCATTCTGTTGAATGTCGATATACACTTAAACAGCATCACATTTTTTCACATCACATTGTATTTATATGTTGAAAGAAATTGGAAGTTAATCATATTTCATGACGATTTCAGTGAACAGTGAAAGTAGACAACTTTCTTTTCCAATTAGTTCGGAAGAGAATTTCTACTGTTAAGTAGAAGAGTCAGGAAACTCAGTGAATAAGAGTAATTAAGCATTCACTTTTCATTTGTATCATATTAGAAATAGGGTGGAAGAATAGCAAATTGATTCTTTGATAAACCTGTAAGAGTCCAATCTTTTTTCACAGTAACGAAATTCGGTGTTCCTAGAGAAATTAAACAGGATATAATGTTATCATGCAAGTAATAAGTTTATCAGTATTTCTCTTTACAAGATTTCCCATCTGAATTGCACATCTCATAATTCAATTTTATTTCAAGAATCCTTCTTTGAACAAGCCAACAGAGGTAAAGGATAAAACTAATGGAATTTATTACAAGTTACAGATACTCATATAAAATATTCACCACAATAATTTTTTGACTATTGAAGTATACTCAAAGTGATGGGGATTACGGTTTAAGTACTTCTTAGATGTAAATGTATCCTAGCTCCGCCTGTAGCTTCTCTGGAGCTGCTGCTGGTTGCAAGACCGGATAAAGAAGGAGGGTTAAGTATGGTGTCAGCAACCTCATCCCGTAATAAACAACCTTGCTAAAAAAATGCTAATCAGAAAAAACAAAATAAGTAAGTAAATATATCCTACAAAGTTATAAATCTATACAGATGGAAGCTTCAAAGGCACATAATGTTCATACACAGTAGTTACAACTGAAAATTTTCAATAACATCAGTCAAATAGTGAATAAATTTAAAGGATAATTTTTTCAGTAATTTATCGTGATCGTGATCTACAATGTGTTTCAAAATATAATTATCTGACAATTGATTAAAGATTTTAAATCTCTGATGTTTTCACTATTTATAGCATGTGACTTTAATTGTTCTAAACTTATTTCTACGTTTCGAGTTATCATTTTGAATTATACACGTTTTACAAATTGCATAAGTAAAATTAACCCATTCAATAAG